CTCCCATGTTTGTTACATTGTAATTCCCAGTAGCCAGAATCCAAAATCAACCTAAATATTCATTAATGGATGAATGGATTTTAAAAAGAGATGTCTCAAATAAAAAACCTGTTATGAATTTTTATGACTCCCTCTGAATCAGAACCAAAATGTTTTACAGGAAAAGGAAAAGTTACTGTGGATTCAGTAATGGAGGGTCTGAAGAAGATTACACGTGAGTGAAAATTTATGATACAATACAGTATAAAAGTGACAATCTGATGCTAAATATTCATGTGTTTTCTTGGTTATAAAAGCAATACATATTCATTATAGAAAAGGTCTATATATTTACAAAATGAAAGGGTTAAAAAAGAAAGTTCTTAATTCTATCCTCCAAAGAAAATCCGTATGTTATCACCATAAATTTTTTCCTGTGCGTTGACAATTTTGTGTGCTCATGCTGTACACTTGTATAGAAAAGCATGAATGGAAGGTTTGAACATTATGCTGTAGAACTGGACACTAGAGTGAAGGTAAAACCTTTCTTCTGCTCTGCTCCCCTAAACAGAGAATCTCAGTCTTGTATTTCATTGCTAAGGAATTTTGGTTTGTTCCCTGCACCTGCATTTCCCAAATGTGACCCAAAGAACTCCACAATGCTGATTATATTTCTAAAAGGATTTAAGACTAAGTTAAGGTACTTTTTGCAAGTATGAACAAAATGAACCTTAATAAGAAAAGATAAATTTAAATTCTAGGTACCCACATTTAATATTTCCAAGTGGAAAAATCACTTTAAAAACATACACAAAAAAAAATTCCAAGTGAGTCTTCTTATATTTTATTATTGGTGAAAAATAAAAATAAAATCTCTTTGATGAGTCCCTCTAGCCTATTCCATCTATTACCATTTCTGTTGCTGAGACCAGAAAACTTTTAGGATATTCAGTTGTAGCTTTTCACACAACCATTTAAAATTATGCTGATGAATTTAGTGATGATGAAGCAATTCCCCATGTTTATTTATGATCTCTGTATTCATCAATAAGTGATATTGAATACCTAGGTACTGCTTAAGAAAGCTCAGACACAAAGAAGCAATAAGCAAGGTTTCTCTCTCACCAAGGCTTAGTTTTTTACTGCACCGTATATGCTCAGGAAATGCTTCTTGGTTGACTGATAGAGGTTCTCACCCACTGCTTTTGGATAACTGAAGGTTCACTAACTCAAGCAGCTCTATGGCAGTCATTTTTTTATAGTCTTCCTGATCTAGGCTAAAAAGAAGAAATGGTTCTGTAAAACTAACAATGCCAGATAACATAATAAAGTCAACCAAATCAGGACCAATTAAATTTAAAACTATTTACAGAATGAATATGTATATATATTATCCAGGCTAGGCCTAAGTTTTCAATCCTCCTGCCTCAGCCTCCCAGTGTGCTGGGATTACAGGTGTACACCACCACACCCAGCTTCCATCAGTCTTCTTTCTCCTCTTTTTATAATAAAAAAAGGAAAACCTTGAAGATACCAAAGTATAGTACAACAACTCTTGATAATCTCCTACCTCTTTTGTCTCTAACTCACTATTATTTGCCTATTTGTTTTCCTGAGAAACTATTTTGTAGATAACAATATGTAAAACGATAACCATTGATAATTTCCTACCATTTTGTCTGTAATTTGCTAAGTCCCCCCTATTATTATATTATCCTTCTTTTACTCTTTAAAATAAAAAAAAAGAAAAAGAAAAGAAAAAGAAAAACCTTCCTACATAAAAATTAAGTCTACCTCTTATCTGGGAAAGAAATCTTCTGTGTCACATTCCTAACCAGGACGCTGCTACATGCAGTACCTAAGCATGACATAGATCACCTCTAGCAAACTAATATCTAGGAAAGGAGAAGAACCAAGCAATAGGGAAGGAGAGAGAGAAAGACTGTGTATGGGCTGAGAGGGGAGAGGACAGAAAGTAAAAGGTATCTGACAGTTTTTTCTTAATTCTACAAATTAGATGTTTTAAATTTGAGTTAACTCATCCCTCAATAAAGAAGATATTTATTCTCCTCGTGTTTATAAAACAAACTATCACACACTTCAAAAGGAATAAATTATAAAAGAATAGTCTTTTTTTAAAGAATAGTCTTAATTTCAATTCTGCTTTTATTTATTTATTTTCTTTTTTTTTTTTTTTCTGGTACCAGGAATCGAACTCACGACTTTGCGCTTGCCAGGCAGGCGCTGTGCTGCTGAGCTAAATCCCCAGCCCCCGCCTCTAGTGCTTTTAATGTTTTATCTTTGTATTTCAATACATTAGGGCAAAAGAAGCATTTGAATTAAAATTGATTATCACATATAACTGACATTTTCCTTCAGTTTTCCACTTATCTGAGGAAAAAGAAGATAAAATGCATCCCTCCTATTCTACTTTCGATAACTTAAGAAATTTATAGAATTTTGACTCTTAATTCTGTCTTTAAACAGATAGAATGATGCCTCTGTGTAAGTTAATACAAACTGCAATGACATTAAAGGCGATGTGAAACCTGGTTTGAAAGTGTTGTTAGTTGCCCAGCACGGTAATGTACACCTATAATCCCAACGTGCTGGGAGGCACTCTGGGACCACAAGTTTGATCTCAGCTCAGGCAGCTTAGCAAATCTCTGTCTCAAAATAATAATAAAGCCAGGTGTGGTGGTGCATGCCTGTAACCCCAGCACTCGGGAGGCTGAGGCAGGAGGATCACCATGAGTTTGAGGCCAGCCTGGACTACATAGTGAGTTCAGAGACAGCCTAAACTACATAGCAAGATCCTTCCTCAAAAAAAACCTTAAAACATAAAAAAGGCTTAGGGGATAAATCAGAGTGAGAGCCTCTAGGTTCATTCTCCAGCACTGAAGAAAAAAAGAGAGAGGGGTTAATACCTTGACTTATAGTTTTTAATCCCTTAATCATTTTCCCTATTTATTTTGTCAATTTCTACCCTCTGTCTATTAATCCGTAAGGTGGCTGGACACCATTATCTCTGTTTCCTGAGTTCCTTTTGCCTTTGCAGTCATGTCACACTGCACCACCTGGATTATCGGATGTACTGTTGCTAAGGCCTTCGTTTGCTGTCTTTTAACCCTTAATTACATTTTAATCTGTTCGGTACCATAGTGCAGTTTATAAAGCAGGTATTCCTGACACTGCCATTAAACAGATTAATTCTCTAAATTGAAAGGAGTAAATTTAGTTAATGATCTATTCACTCTTTCTTATCTATTCTTTGTCAGCTTTAAAACTGTGGGAAGAACTTCTGTGGTTGAAAGGACGCTATTAGGAGAGTGACAAAGAATGTGTAGGGTAGGAGGCAACATTACCAATAAGAATTTAGTATCCAAAATATATGAAGAGCCCCTTATAACTCAACAATAAAGAGGACAAATATAATTATTCCTCCCTTATGTGTCGTTTTGCTTTCCACAGGACCAGTTACCTGTAATCAACAGCAATGCAATAGATTAGGTGGAAAATTCCAGAAATCAATAATTCATAAGTTTTAAATTACATGCTGTACTGAGTAGCATGATACTATCTAGCGCTATCTCCCATCCCGCTTCGGACATGAATCATCCCTTTGTCCCCTGTGCGCGTACTATTTGCATTAGTCGCTAAGCAGTGAAATAAGCCAATCACAAAAAGGTGGATGCTGTGTGAGTTCACTTCTGTAAGATATCGGTAACAGCCAAATGCTCAGAAACAGGAGATACGGTGGCTGTCAGGGGCTGGGAGGACGGGGAACTTTTGAGGCGCTACTGTAAAGAGCACAGAGCTTCCACTTTGCAAGATGCAAATGATCTGTAGATTGGTGGTGCAACAAAGTAAATATACTTATCCATCCTCAAAAGTAGTTACCAAGGCAAGTTTTATGTAATATGTCTTTTACCCCAACTAAAGATAAATAATATAAAGTTTTTACTTCTAGCTGGGTACAACAGCTGCTTGAAAGGCTGAGACAGAATGATTTGAACCCAGGAGTTTGAGACCAGGCTGAAAAACATAGCTAGATTTTGTCTCTTTTAAAAAAACACAAAAACAAAAACAAATTTATTTTTTTACTTTCCACCAACTTCATTTAATAGGAACTGTCGTGATCGCCGTTTAAAACTGTGGTAGCCTTTAACATAGTAAATCCTTAGTACATATTTGTTGAATTAATTTGTAAATTAAACCTATCCTTTTTCTTCTCCTGTGTTCTTAATGTACCAAGTTTAACAAGACCTGGGTAAAGTCAAATTACATTCATAATGAACAGACTCCGAGAGTCCCCAGTACATTACTAGCTAAACGTTGAGCGCCAAAGTCTGCAGTTAGCCATAGCAACTTAATCATGAAAGAAAAATATTACTGTGATTAATCTCTTACTATGCTTAATGTATTAATTAAGTCTTATCGTAGGTAGGTGTGTATAGGAAAAAGTATAGTATGTCTAGAGTTTGGTACTATCTGTCATATCAGGCATCTACTACGGGTCTTGGAACACACTCCCTGATGGTAAGGGGAGATCACTGTCACCTAAATTTTGAATGGACAAAGGATATGAATAGGCATTTCTTCACGGAAGACATAAAAGTAACCATTAGCACGTAAAAAAGGTGTTCAACATCATTAGTCATTAGGGTAGCTCAAATCAAAAGCACAACTAACCTAACTCCTGCGCTGGAGGATTTATAGTGCCATGAGAGAGGTCAGATCATGAACACTATCTGCTTAACACAAGCAACTTTTTGTTTGTTTGTTTTCTGAGAGGGAGTCTCTATGTAATCCAGACTGGCCTTGAATTCACTATGTAGCCCAAGCTGGCCTCAGACTTTCAGAGATCCTCCTAGTTCAGCCTCCCACGTGCTGGGATTACAGGTGTGCACCACCACACCTAGCTTTTAAGTACTTTCCAAAGTCACTCTTCTTATTAATATTAAAGTTTATGAGTGACACTTTTTACCCTTCTTTTTAGACTTAATTAATGATATGGCTTGGAGTTTCTGTTGTTTGTCTTTGGTTGTTTGGTTGTTTGGTTGGTTGTTTGGTTGGTTGTTTGGTTGGTTGGTTGGTTGGTTGTTTGGTTGTTTGGTTGGTTGTTTGGTTGTTTGTTTGGTTGGTTGGTTGGTTGTTTGGTTGTTTGTTTGTTTGGTTGGTTGGTTGGTTGTTTGGTTGTTTGGTTGGTTGTTTGGTTGTTTGTTTGTTTGGTTGGTTGGTTGGTTGTTTGGTTGTTTGTTTGTTTGGTTGGTTGGTTGGTTGGTTGGTTTTGTGGTACTGGAGATTTTCTCCAACACTGTGAGGAGTTTGTGGGTCCTTCTCCCCAGGCCTGCACCAGAGCAGTGAATGAGGTCACAGTTGCATGATGGAACAAACGCTTTGTTGGGCCCTTGATCTGACTGAAGGCCCAAAGCAGTGAGTAGCACAGCGCAAAAGTAGGTAAATATCCCAGTTTTTACAATTCTAAGCCAAGTCTTTTTAAAAAAAGAAAGTACTCTCTCATCTCTTTGAGAGACTGAAGTTATTTTTTTTAAATAATGATTATCTTCAACCATAAGGATGATTTCAAAGCACCTTTCAAGTATCTAACTTGTTGAATATCTCTGGAGTCCCCAGCTCTACGGTAGGTTTGTAGACTCTGAACATCTGTGATTGAGTTGTTTAGAAGCTACTACTCTCTAGGTTGTGAAGTACAGACTTGAGAAAAATGAATTCTAATGAAACATTGAGAAACTTTTTTCCTCATGGCTTAATGGTATTTATTGTTCAATGTTCCTGTTAAGGACCCACTTTTCTTCTTGGTGAACCACCTAAGATACTACTTTTGTTTTGAGTTAGAATTTTGCTATGTAACCCAGGCTGGCCTCAAACTCACAATCCTCCTGCCTCAGCCTCCCAAGCACTGGGATTGCAGGCGTGCATCCCACTCCTGGTTCACTCCACTTTAAAAAAGAATAACTGGAACTATAAAATGAGCAAAGGTGGAAGCTCCACCACCCAACCCATGGTCCATGGGTCCTGTCTCTCAAACTATGCAAAATGGTAGAGGCAGGACTAGAGTGATGGTTGTTGGGAAGGAGTCCATTCGAGGTCTAGAGTAGCAAACAGCATCATATTCCACACCCACTCCTACTCGTAAGAAAGACCATGGGACCAGAAGTGACAGGTGTGGATACGCATCTCAGAAGGAAACCCTGACGAAACCTACGCACTGCTAGGCAGGTGCCTAAGACAGAAACAAGTAGGCAAATATTTAAAATGCTATATCATTTGTCAATTATGATTTGAAATGTTCTGGTTCATAAAAATTATTTTGCCTTTACATAACTTTTTCCACATATTTCTAAGATGCTTTATCTGTTTCACTTGGCACAATTTTATGACTTAAGATCTACAATGCGATGGTTTTATATATGTGTACATTGTGATATAATCCTGCAGCCAAGCTAACTAACATATCTGTTATTTCACATAATTACTGTGGGAGGAGAGGGGTGATACCTGGGATGAGCTTTCTTAGCAAATTTCAAGGATACAGTACAATGAGGGAAAAGAGAAAAGAAAGAAGGGGAAATTATGTTTATATGTATATACAGATAGCTAACATAGTTGTACTACCGACCTATATTGCTTTATTGAAAGGAATAGTTAATGATTAATTATTTGACGAATCTTATGTGTCTATATTTGTTTTCCTGAGTAACCACTCCGAAGAAATCAACATGTAATACAACAACCATTGTTAATCTACTATCACCTTGTCTGAATTTCAGTATTGCTTGTAGTGTTCTTGTGTTATTAGGTAATTAGGTAAATGTATGTGTGTTTAATATGTTTTTTTTTATTTTTTTAAATTAAAAAAAGTAAATAAATAAGTCAGGTATACAGTACAACGCTGTTGTCTGTAGTCACCATGCCATGCACTCGATCTTTAGCATGAACTCATCTTGCGTGACTGGGACTGTGCGCCCCGCACCCCCCTGCTCCGACTCCTCTGCTCGCGCAGAGCTTAGCATTCATTTTAGGTTGCACTTGCATCAAGTGAGAACACAGCCTTTTTGTGTCTGGCTTATCACACTTAGCATTCATCTTTCTATTGAATAAGACTGTATAATACTACAGTATTTGAAAGGCAGAGCAGTAACAAGAAATTTTGCTTTCAGATCTAAGGAAAATAAAGGGAACTTTCCACACAGCCAACTTGGCACGTAACTCTAACTTGACTTTGCATAGAGTTCCACTCCCTGAGGCCCTAGACTTTTCAAACTCCAGGTACTGAGCTGGGAAAGTTGCAAAAGAGTGTAAAGAAATTAATCTGTGAATTGACCCTTAACTGCATCTTCTGAATTCCAGACCCAGTCACTGGCCACATGGCAGTTTCAGAACTCAAATCAAAACTTAAACTGAACCCTCTAAAAGTACCTGTCTTCCACAGCAAGAGGTAGGTGGTCAAAGTATCAATAGACTATGATAAAGAATTATTAATGTAGTGGATATAGTAAACACCCATAAAGGCTGTGAGACAAGTTAGAATGCTCTTCAAATATATATTCTGTGGTGGATTTAGTTATAAAACAAAACATTTAAGCTGAAAAAACTTTGTATGAAAAGAAAATGATAAACATTCTTTTTGGCCGGAGAAAGTTCTCTTTCCTGTTCTCCAAATGAAATGTTGTTTTCTGTTAGGACACAGAATACCCTAGAATGCTCGAAGAGTTGTCAGTTGTACCTTAAGGTATTTTCAACGCCAGTTTAAAGGAGAATAAATTTAGAAGATCTTAAGGTAGACCTAACCCCTACACAAGTCAAAATATACAAAAAGGGTCTATATTACAAATATAGGCGGTAAAAGGCAATCTGGTAAATTAACCATGTCTAGCCTTAGGCTAAAATTGGGGAGGGAAGTTGGCTTGTACCATTAACAATAGCTTTTTCTGCAGGCAGCTACAGATAAACTCCAGAAAAAGCTACTAATAGCTGAAAGAAAACCCAAGATAGATTTTACCAGATTATAAGAGGAAAAACTCTCTTTTCTCACAACTGTTTGTTTTCTTTACCACCTTGGGGGCATTTTTGCCAGTGTTCTGGGTTTGCCAGTGCTAAACAAATATATCTGACACTTTTTAGAGAATAATGTGTAAGATAACCTTATAGCAACCAGATCCTTAATATTACTGTTCGCTTGCCCCACATGAAAAGCTGCCTTTTGAGCTGGTTTGGGTTGGGTTGGGTTGGGTTGGATTGGGTTGGTTTGGGTTGGGTTGGTTGGGTTGGGTTGGGTTGGTTGGGTTGGGTTGGGTTGGGTTGGGTTGGTTTTGAGACATGTTCTTGTTATGTATCTCGGGCTGGCCTTGAACTCATTGTGTAGCCCAGGCTGGCCTCAAACTCCTGATCCTCCTGCCTTAGCTTCCCAAGTAGCTGGGATTACAAATGTATCCCATCACAGCTGGCACAAGCTGTCTTTTAAAACAGTGAAGGCTTGGGATATAGCTCAGAGGCACAAGTGCCTGCCTGGCAAGCGCGAGGTCCTGAGTTCGATTCCCGGTACCAAAAATAAATAAATACATAAAATAAAACAGTGAGCTCCTTGTCACTGAAAGTAGCCAAGCAAAGACTAAATAATACCACACACAGAGGAAATTCACACACTAAATGAAAGGCTGGGCTGGGATCATTCTAATCAAAGTTTCTACAGTCATTTCTGGGTTGCTCACCTCTACTTCTGGAGTTAGATTCCAGGTTCTCATCTCAAACAAAGAATTGAACAAAATCAGCAAAAAAAAAAAAAAAAAACCAGTGGCAAAGTTTATTTGAAAAAAAGTAAAAGTAAAAAATAAAGAGCGAGAGAGAAACTGGTTCTGCAGAGCGGGCTTGGGCCCAAGTAAGCGAGAAAAGGCAAGATAAAAGTGGAGAAAGCAGGGCAGGCTATCATGAGGAAAGCCAAAATAGCAAGCTTATTCTTGGCATCTGTGTCCTTTTAAATCATCTAAATCTCCAGGAAACCCACAAGAACTCCTACATCTGGGTCCTGAGAGACAGTGCTGGGCTCCCATGCCTCGGGTTGACCTCAGGGCTAGGCTAGCCTACTGAAAACCTGCTCGAATTCTCAGAAGTGCAGGGCTTTGGGAAATGTTCTGCAGTGTATTCTGGGGTCTTGTAGTTACCAGGTCACACCTCCTTCCCCAGCCAGCTCTGCCATGCCCGAATCGCCTACGTCAATGTGAAACTTATCATAGAAAGGCTTTCTCCAGTGTTTGGTCTAAGATAGGGTTTAAAACTCTGTCAAGAGTATCCTTCATAATGCAACGAATAAAGACCTTATACTGCATAGAACAAATACAGGTCCAAACTTATACTTTCCTCTTGCTTTTTGAGAACATATTCCTGTATCTGCTGCATCTTTTATATCACACTAAAGAAATTTGTTTATATTTACAAACGCAAAATAACCTGAGTCTTCAGAAATTCAAGTAGGTGATAAAGAAGAACCATCAGGGGGCTGGGGATTTAGCTCAGCAGCAAAGCGCCTGCCTGGCAAGCTCAAGGTCGTGAGTTCAGTTCCCTGTACCGGAGAAAAACCAAAATAAAACCAAAAAATAAAAAATAAAAAATAAAAATAAAAGAAGAACCATCAGAAGAAGAAATCATTGTTTAAAAAAGCTAAGGAAAGAAGGCAAGTTAAATAAAATTCCATGTCAAATGTTGAGAACTATACAGTTGGGAACTATACATTCCCTTCCCAGCACTGCAGATAGATAGGTAGGTGGGTAGATGATAAATAGATAATAGATCAATCAATCACTAGCTAGTGCTAGCTAGCTTATCATTTCCTTTTTTCCCAGTCTCTCTTTGAAAATGAATTGAATATAATATTCTAGAGGATACTAAATTAAAAACCCTAATAATTTTATTAACTGCAAAGTTTACTTCTCTTAATTTATCTTTATCCAATAGCTTTTTATAAAACCACAAAAACTAAGAGATTCCATATTTTTAAAGTTTATTCTGTGGCTAGCATTAAGAAATCAACCAATAACAAATGCTGGCGAGGCTGTGGAGAAATAGGAACCCTTCTCCACTGCTGGTGGGAATGCAGACTGGTGAAACCACTGTGGAAATCAGTTTGGAGATTCCTCCGAAAACTAGGTCTAGAGGTCCCATTCAACCCAGCTATCCTCCTGCTGGGTGTTTTCCCAGAAGATCTAAAAGCATCATATCACAGTGATGTATGTGCACCCATGTTCATAGCAGCACAATTTGTAATTGCTAAAATGTGGAAGCAACCTAAATGTCCATCCACTGAGAATTGGATAAGAAAATTGTGGTACTTTTATATAATGGAATATTACTCAGCTATAAAGAAAGATAAACTCGAGGCTTTTATAGGCAAATGGTCACAACTAAAGACCATACTCATAAGCGAAATAAATCAAACATACATGTGCAAGCACCGCATTGTTTCTCTAGTGTAAAGCCTGAAAGAGTTAATTTAATCTAGGAGATATGATAGACATTGTGAATTGATAGGAAAGCACTCATAGGTAAAGGATAACTGGGACATGGGAAAAGAGAAGGGAAAGAAGGAGAAAGTTTGTATATATGTATATGCAGGATAGTTAACACGGGTGTTCTACTGTCCTGTATTTCCTTGCTGAAAGAAACTGTCAGTGAGGCATTGGTTGATTAGCTTTGTATGTCTATATGTGTTTTAATGAGAAACCACATTGAAGATATCAATATGTAATGCAGTAAGCATTGTTAATTCCCTACCACTCTGTTTGTAACTCTGTAATGTCTGTACTGATCCTATGCTATTTTGTAAAATGTTGTCGGTCTGTCAGTATTTTCCTCCTTTTATTTCTAAAATTAAAAAAAAAAAAGTTTATTCTGTTAGTTTCAAAACTAAATGCATTTTAAAAAAAATAAATTCATGAAAGTATGGTTATTTAAACTAATTTATATTTCATTAAATCTTAACTTACCATGTTATAAGCAAACCCAGATTTATGTAATACATTTCTGTACTCCTAAGTAAGTTGTTGTAGATCTATGTAGTCCCCCTAAGTACTAGTATTTTCCCTCCTTTTCCAGATTTTACTTCCTTAGGGAATGAAAGGGCAACCAAAGTTCCAAATTTTCCAGAAGTGTTCTGTCTTTTTCTATCTTCCACATATATGATAAAAATAAAATTGGAGTTAAAGTTGTTAAATAATCATAGATGCAAAAGTTTCTCTATAAGGATGTATATCACAACATTACTTGTACTAAAATTTTGAAACAACTTATATTTCTAAGAAGAGGAGAATTTAAGACTTATAGCTATGAACCTTAGAGTCAGACAAATTTGACTCATTATCTATGTGACCTGGGATAAGGTATTTAATAGCTCTGACCCTCAGGTTCTTGTTTTATAAATGGAGGAGACCAGAGTTTTATAAGGGAGGCAGGATGATTGGCAAATATAGGGCAGAGGTGTGGAGCTGGGGGGCCAATATTTTCTCACTATCCATCTGACCCTAATGGCAAGTGACAGAAACAGGTCCCCTAGGAAATGGGGCTCTGCATATATTATAATGCTCACATTCATTCCCGTCAACAGAAAATTGATGAGTGGAACTAAGGCTTGCTCCTTTCGCTTACATGCGTGTTAAATCTAAATCTCTCGTGTCTCTCTTCTCAGGGATAAAGATCTACCGAGGTCCCTTCCAGGCCAGCCACACCACAAAGAAAAGTTGAGCCCACCACAAATGGAAGGTAATGAGAACCATCCTGAAAATTAAAACATAACCAAGAATCTTACAATGTATATGATCCTTTCTTTAGTGCAGGTATAGGATTTCAAGAGGCGTCTATACCCCTTTCATTTAAGAAAGGCGGGCTATGGGTGTAGCTGGTATGTATATGTGAGTGTCTGGGTCCGATCCTCACTACTAGGGGAAGAAATTCTTGAACAGCCGCTGAGTGTGATGGCGCACAGCTGCAATCCCTACCAGCGGGGTGAGGCAGGAGGACTGCGAGTTTGAAGCCAGCCTAGACTACAGGGGGATTCAAAGCCAGTCTGGACCACAAAGTGAGAGCTTGTTTCAGAAAGCCAAAAATAAAGTTTTAAAATGGTAAAAAGTCAGCTTTATTGCTAAGAAAGCTGATTGGGAAAACACAAAGTATTGTCAAGATCGAATTTATATTTTGGCTTTTTTGTTTGCTTTTTGTCTTGTTTTTCCTTGGATTTGTATTTTTAATTGTAAAACTGAGATGAGTGCTTTAGCAGTTTTAAAGTTTCTAAGGTGCCTTCACAGTGCTGGGTGCCATTTGCGGGAAGGGGTCAGAATTGTTTTGTGTTGTTTGTTTTTGGTGCTTGGGGTTGAACCCAGCGCCTTACTGAGACACACCCCAAGCCCTTAAGAAACTTGTTTTAACCGGATATAAGTAACATGCGGACACAGATAATTTTCATGGAGACGTGTTTTTACACTCACGATCCCCAAAAACAGAAGACACAGCACGCCGCGCAGAGGCAAGTAAAGAAACACAAGGGTCAAACAGGAGCAGAGAGACTGACCAGAGCCTTTGTAATGATTTTTGCAGAAAGGAACAGGCAAAGCAGGAGGAGCAGATTTGGGGCTAGCTACACTGAGGAATTTCCGTGATCTCCGCAGCTTGGGCTGACCCTCAGTGATCTAGTACCTGGACCTGGGATTAGTCGGGCAGGGGAACAGTGGCCCAGCGCAGGAGAGCCAGAGGAGGCAGGAGGTTAAGAGACGGTGTCTAGATGGGCTGGTGAGCCGATGAAAGGCGCAGTGTAAACTAGCTGTTTATTATCTCTGGAGACTAGCTGGGCCGGTAAGGGGCAGTCCCTGCAGGGTTAGCAAAGGCCCAGAGGTCAAATCACCAAGTGCATAAACTAGGAAAGTGGTTATTCAAGTGCTCACAACTTTCCCATGAGAAGTTGATTTGTTGATTCTACATACACCTTTTCAGCGCCTCAAAACCCCCCGAATGTCCCATCCTCACTCGCAGTTGATATCCCTGCTTCCTACTTGACTCAAACCTGAAGTAATCAGAACAGAATTCCCAGCTTTCCAGCTCTGTACCTACCTCCCGACTAGGTCTGTGCCTACGTATTTTGCCTTCCAGTACTTTTTAGAACAAGTTGAGCAACAAAAATAAACAATGCGGAATTGGGTTCTAACCCAAAGTATAAGATAAGCACCCATCAGGCCAGGCTCAGTTTCGCGTGTCTGTAACCCTGAGTACTCCAGGAGGCTGAAGCAGGAGGATGGAAAATTCGAGGTCAACCTGGGGAACTTAGCAAGGCCCTGTCTCAGAGTAAGGGCTGGACTGGGATGAGCTGTGACGGAGCACTTACCCAGCATCTTCGAGGCCCTGGATTCAGTCCTCAGCATCACAAAAAAAAATTTTAATTAAACATGCATACTGATTGAACTGTTGTTGTTTTTTTTAATTTTTATTTTGTTTGTTTTGTTTTTGAGATAAGGTCTTGTTATGTAGTTCAGGCTGACCTGGGTTCACTGTGTAGCCCAGGCTAGCCTTGAACTTGTGGCCATCCTCCTGCCTCAGCCTCTCAAGTGCTGGGATTACAGGCGTGCACCACCACACGAGGCTTCAATTTTTATTTTTTATTAGTACACGTGTTGCAGTACATATGGGCAAGGTAGTGGTACTACAGGGGGAAACGAGGTCACAATGTTTATGTTTTTTTAGCTTTCTGAGACCGAGTCTCACAGTGTAGTCCAGGGCTAGCCTTGAACTCATGATGATTCTCCTGCCTCAGCCTCCCAAGTGCTGGTATTTTTTAAGGGAGAAATAACAGCACATTTGTATGATCATAGGAATAACATATAGATAGTATCGATAGTAAGAAAGAAAGGAGACCGTTCTTGGGCAATGTATTTGAACAGGAGAGAAGGGATGAGTGCCGACCTACAGTGGAGGGGCTGGCTGTAGATAAAAGTGTAAAGTTTACCTGTGGAACAGCAAAGAAAGCAGAGCGTGTGGGTAGAGATGGTAGTAGGGGGCGGCGTGGAGCTGGGAGTCTGTAGCGCTTGTCCCTTCTTCCCAGGGCCCGCCTCCACATTATTCCTGCTCACAGTACAGACCGCCTTCCACAACAGTCCCTAATTTACCTATTGGACTTACAGGGGCACAGAGATCTCTGCTATGTTACGCACTAAAGTACCCTAAGCTCTTACAGCGCGACCGCACTCGGAAAGCATGTGATCAATATTTGCCAAGTTGCACGAATGCGTGCGTGCCTAGCACATGCTAGAGAGATCAGGAGAAGGTAGAAAGGAGTCAGAGACAATTTGATGTCAGCCCTAAGGAAGCTACGTTTCGCCAAGGGAGAAAGGTGTCACATTTCCACAACACTGTAAGACACCTCTCCTTTTCTCTAGGAAATTAATCGCTCATAGATGCAGATGCCAAGACGTGCCTCTGTTATGAAATAAGTTCTGTTCTGGTGCCCTGTGGAATATACTTGTTCTGGGCTTGTTTTTGCATTTGCATATTTTAAAAACTGTGTGTCTAATGTTGGCTCTAGTTCGTGCCTGGGGCGGTGGGGTGCTGGGAATGGGACACAGGGATTTGCACACAGCTGTTAGGCACGCTGTCCACAGCCCCTGTGTGCTGGAACAAGAGGCCAGGGAAAATGCCCCGACAGCTTGTGAGAGATGAGCTTTATTAGGACTAACAGTGCTAACAGGGAAGGATGGGGTTAACTGCAACTCACTATCGAGGGCAGCACCCAGGAAGCATGCAGCAGTCCGACAGTGCTAGTCGGCAAAATCGCACAAAAAGGGTGTGTGCTCAACATCACTGCTAGGCAGACTCCCACAGGGGACGCACACTCCCAACAGCAAGTCCACAGGGGGCGTGTGCGGAACAGCAGCACCTGAGATGCCCAGTGATGACAGCTTGGAAAGAGCATTTTCAAAACTGGAGCATCCCACCAGGCGTGGTGGTGCACGCCTGTAATCCCAGCACTCGGAAGGCTGAGGCAGGAGGATCACTGTGAGTTGAGACCAGCCTGGGCTACAAAGCGAGCTCAAGGCCAGCCTGAACTGCATAATGAGACCCTGTCTCAAAAAAACAAACTGGAACATCCAGTGGTGACCACCCGGGCTACAGGGCTCCATGGTGCTCTATCCCTCATCCAGCTGTAGCAAGGGGTGGGGGGTTCACACATTAAACCACATAGCAGTGACATCCTTAGCTTGCTCTGTTCTATTTTGTGACCATTTCAAGGAATAGCTAATTTAGTATACTGGCAGGAAAGCAGTTTCTACAGGTAATACTAGATTGCCCAGTTCCTGGTGTCCCTCAGATAATACTTACACATTCCGGTTTCTTTCTACTTACGATGTCCCCTTAGCTTGGCAAGAGTCTGGGGAACACACAGGGTGTTTCAGGAACTCAAGGTTAGATGGCCTAGTTTTTCTCAGGAACAGTACCCTGTGCTACATCCCCAGCCCTTTCTATTTTGAAACGGTGTCTCACTAAGGTGCCCGGATCAGCCTCAAACTGTGATCCTCCTCTGCCTCAGCTTCCCAGTAGCTGGGATTGCAGGTACATGCCGCCACAGCCAGCTTTAGTTAGTCCTTTAGCTATTTCTTCTAAGAAGGTTAGCTCTGTGTAAAAGACACACACACAAATATTAAATTTTGGTCAAATTTGTATCAGCTTTGTTCTTGTCATAACAAATTGTCACAGATTTAACAGCAAACGTCAGTATAAAATCACTCTCTTAAATTCTGTAGGTCAGACATCCAGGCAAGCTTGGCTGGTTTCTCTTCTCCAGGTCTGACTGGGCTGAAATTTAGATGTCAGCCATGCTGGGCTCTTATCTGGAGATTCTGGAGAATCTGCTTGCAGTCTCAATCAGATTCCTGGCACGATCCAGTTCCTTGCAATTAGATGACTGAGGGCCCCAGTTTCTCTCCCGTCTGCCACGCAGGACCCTCTCTGAACCCCTTAAGGCTGCCAGCACTCCTCCTCACGCTGCCCCGCCACTTCACACTGGCAGTGGTGGGTCGAGTCTTGCCTGTGCTCTGACCCTCTCTGACTTGTACCGTATCTATCTTGCTTCTACCTCTACAAGGAGTCCTGAAATTAGACTGGGCCCACTCAAGGAATCCAGGCCGTCGTATCTCAAATACATCTGCAAAGTCCCTTCTAGCGTGTAAGATAATATATCCATAGATTCCAGGGATTGGGGTAAGGACTGTTTGGAAAGCTATTTCACCTGCCACATTTGGTTTTCTGCTCTGCCAGTTAGTTGATTCCAGTCCAAATCTCAAGGGCGGACAGTGTCCTGTATTAAAGATGTCTATGAAGTATTCACTTGTAATTCTATTTCTCCAGCCTTCCAAGACGCCTACAACTTCTTCAGCAAGGACAAAACTGGATGTATTGATCTGAATGGGATGATGAGTACTTTGGCTAAGTTAGGAATGAGTCTAACCAAGCACGATGTCTATAATGAACTAAAATGTGCTGACCTTGATCGTAAGTATTTTGCTTTCTCATTTTTTAAAAAAAAGAGTTCTCATATTTTTTTTCTCAGTGATTGTATAAGCAGAAGAAATAAACCTCTCTTGTACTGTATAGTTTGGGTTAAATTTTAAAAAGTAAATAAAAGTAAAGAGTAGCCCTCATCGGCCTGTTTCATTTTCCATGGTTTTAGATAACAGTCAAGCACAGTGCAAAAATGTTAGTATTTATCTTGACTCAAGAGAAACTACATTCACATAACTTTCATTAAAATATATTGCTATAACTGTTCTATTTTTTATTAGCTGTTAGTCTGTTATTGTGCCTACATTATAAATTAAACTCTATCATACGTATGTGCGTACGGGAAGAAGGTAGTGTACGTGGGGTTCAGAACTAGCTGAGGTTTTAGGCACCCACCAGAGGTCTGGGGATGCATCCTCTGTGATAAGGGGAACTACCACATATGCATGTTTAGCGTTAAGAATATCAGTGAGGTACGCATCTAAGTTGTGAAATCAGATCAATGCTCTGAAGTGTACTATTCTTTGAAAAATCTAGTGTAGAAACTCAGAGTGACTGTGTCCTCTCAAAATCAAACTGAAGTTACCTGTCATGGTGCCCATTTTGGACAAAGCCTGAAAGAACAGACACAAAGCATAAGCAACTTCAAAAACGACACATTACCAAGAAAATCCAAGCCCTTGTTGCTATTTGAATCATCAGAACAGATCTTTCTGCCATTGTTCCAGCCCATCTGTACTGAATTTTAAATCCCACAGAACTTTTGTTGGTGTTTTTAAAACATACGGATTTATGTCTCCACTGGATGTACTGATCTAGTGATTCGCAGTCCAAGCTGTTGCGTTGTGTGGGAAATACGTCCAGCACCTTGTCTCCTCTCACGTCTCTCGCCCAACCGCCCGGGCCCTTTCCGTCAGCACCACTCCACACGTGCTCAGTGTGAGCTTTAATTAAGGCATCATTTGTTTCCACTAACGCTGCCTAATTTTTCTATTCTTTCATGAAAACACAGGCACCCTTCAAGTAGCAGTCATTATCCTTTAATTTTAGAGAAAATGAGGTATTAAAAAAAAAGAAATGACGTTTAACTTGATATGTTATAACAGAAATAATAGGAGAAGTTATATAGTGGAAAGGTTGGTGGATTCCATGTAAAAATGGAAAATCTCTGGAAAAGGGTAGAGCCAGGGGACTACAACAGCTGGGAACCCCTGGCTGAATGTTTATGCCCTGCCCTTATTTTGTGGCCTGCAGAAGACTAGTATAATGATGCTAAAGTCACTCCGAGAAGACCTGAATGAATTAACATGCACTGATTTTAAAATATGAAGCGGTCTATGGTACTTTAACTTTGATACTTAACATATAGTCTAATAATTTAAGCACAGCTTACCCTTGTTCTGAGCTCCGATTTCTTTTGTAGGAGATGGGAAGGTGAACTTCTCAGACTTCTTAAAGGTGCTGACAGATAAGAACCGCTTCCTCAAAGCTGTGGGTGAGTAGACAGTACAGAACAGACGGCAGCGCGGCAGCTACGACCCGCTGCGTAGTAGACACTATTCACCTAGGCCTCCCGCCAGGAGACAAATCAGGAAAGAGTAATCTGGGGTATGATTTATTTTTAAACTGCTTCTCCAAAACAGTATCTGCTAAGCACACTGTGCAGTTTTAGAATTTTAACTTACATGTATTAAGCAGGCCCTGGTGTTGTCTAAAGGACTCCTTCAGGGGACGTCACCCTTCGGTCTCAACGAGAACACTCGGGGGACTGATAGGCCTAGAAAAATGTGGCCTCCTTTTTGTAGTGCTTTGATTTTGTACGAACTCTATGTTCTACTTTTAGAAGCATTCTTTTTACAAAAGAAAATAAGGTTTTTTCCTTAGAAGAAAAAAAATGATCTCTCTCATGATCATTTTTAGAAGATTTTAGAAGGAAATGATTCCTCTCAGATCTGAGCATAGGTAATTAATTGCTCTTGAAAAATATCTTCCTCACACTGACGAAGCCTCTAATTCAATACATGCCTGCTGGAGGAGAGAGTGCAAGGCTGTAAATGCTATGAATAATACTTGAAATATTGCTCGTAGTACTCTCACGGTTTGTTTTTAAGCTTAATACACTGCTGCCTTGGAAAATCTAACACTATTCATGTTTTCTATGATAATACATTCTAAAATTCAAATACTGTATGCCATTCTGAAAACATACCCATTTCTAGACTACAAACTATCCTTAGGATTAAAAAAGTCACCATCGGGGGGCAGGGATATAGTTCAGTGACACAGCGCCTACCTGGCAAGTGCAAGGTCCTGAGTTCAATTCCCAGTACCAAAAAAAAAAAAAAAAAGAAAACAAAAGTCACCATTTTCAAATACTACAATAGTAGAGTTATCTTATAAACCTAGGATATGTTTATTGACAATTCCTTTGCCTAGAGGAACAAGACAATAGTCCTTAACCTGTAATTCATGCTTGTGTTAAAATTGTTTTATATATGGGGCTGGGGATTTAGCTCAGCAGCACAGCGCCTGCCTGGCAAGTGCAAGGTCATGAATTTGATTCCCAGTACCAGAAAAAAAAATTGTTTTATATATAGATACATATATATTTATATTTTTATATATTTTTATAGATATACTTTTTATATTCAGTGATTATTCTGTTTGACCCTTCATAAAAATGACCTTCCTACCAGAGCCAAATTTTAATGTTTTACTATATCTTTAGTCCCTGACTTGATGTTATCATTATTGTAAATAGTAAAAAGACTGTCATCTTACTGCTTTTTTGATAAATGCTTTATTCGGGAAACATTTTGAAATTCCTTTTGTTCCCCTCCGTAGTTCCGGAAAAGGACATCTGTTTAAATTTAAGTGACAACGCAGGGATCCTATTATTTGAAATCCTATCAAAGCTTATAGAGACTTCAGCCCTACCCAGAAAGACTATAATGGACATAGTAAGGTAAGTGGCAAGGAGAGAGGAAAACAGCCTCTCTAGAAGCCTTCATAAGGATATTGCTCACTAGCACTCCGCTCTACAGGCTCTGGTCCAAAACATAGGAAAGGGGCCGGGCGTGGCGGTGCACTCCTGTAATCCCAGCACTCGGGAGGGCGAGGCAGGAGGATTGCCATGAGTTCAAGGCCAACCTGGGCTGTGTAGTGCATTCAAAGCCAGCCTGAGGGGCTGGAGATTTAGCTCAGTGGCAAAAGCGCCTGCCTGGCAAGCGCAAGGTCATGAGTTTGGTTCCCGGTACCGGAGAAAAACCAAAAAACAAAAAAAAAAAAAAAAAGCCAGTCTGAACTACATAGTGAGACACTGTCCCAAAAAAATAAAAAAGGGGCTGGGGATATAGCTCAGCGGTACAGCACTTGCCTGAGTTCAATTCCTGGTACCAAAAATAAATAGATAAATTCTAACTGCTTAAAAACTAAAAATAAATAAATAAATAAATAAATTAAAAGAATAAATAAATAAATCAAAACATAGGGAAAGGTATGCAGGCAAATGGTCATGTGCCAGAATATGCCTGCCTGGCTCTGAAATTCCAAGGCTGATCTCAGACTACCTCCAAGCCCCGCTGTAAGCCTAAGACAGCCAAGGAAGTCCATCCTCTTCTACTCCAGGCCAGGAAATCCCTGCAGAATCAGATTTTTCTGGGGATGATTTTAAGTGGGTTTCAAAATCCAGTGTGGAATACTAGGTACTTCTATCCGTGCTGAACTACCAGGGGCTCTGAACAGGTCCTGGGGCTCTGAAGGGAAGCACAGCAAGCTCAGACTTCCCAGGGAAGTCGTCGGACTGGAGTGGAGGCAGGATTAGCCATGAGAATAAAGGGCAAGGGACCGCTCCCACAGCTAAGTGTATTAAATTATTCCAGCAAACATCAGTAAGAAGGAATTGCCTCGATCTATTTTTACCATTGTATTATAGAAATTGAATATTGCTATTATCAATCTTTTCAATTCGTACTTCTTCAAAGCACTGTGGTATCATACTTATAGAGACTTCAAAATACACAGTACCACCAACAGTGTAAAAACATTCTTACGCCCTTCAGTAGGTAGTCTCTTTATACTGTCCTACCTCTCCATCAGATGGAACGGAAAATTCTACTTTTCATTTCATTGTAGTTCAAAGAGACATTCACTTACTTAATTATTTTGGTGTTTTCGAATCAGGGTCTCGCTATGTAATTCAAGCTGGCCTTGAACTCACTATGTAGTTCAGGCTGGCCTCAAACTCATGGTAACTCTCCTGCCTCAGCTTCCTTGAACGCTGGGATTATGGTCATGTGCCACCACACCTGGCAAAGACATTTATTAAATGCTTGCTGTTGGTATATAAAATACAAATGTACTTTTTCTAATCTCTCAGCCTCAGTTTCCTCATCTATAAAATGTAGGAAAGAATAATAATATCTGCCTTAAGGGGCAGTTGTAGGAATCTGTTTGATAACACATATGATACACTTAGCACATTATAAGAGCTCAATAACTGTTAACTATTATGTGGAAATTAGAATAAGGGTAGAGCCAAGCGTGGTAACACACAACTATAATCCCAGCACTTGGGAGGCTGAGGCAGTAGGATCGCCACAAGTTCGAGGCCAGCATGGGCTACATAATGAGTTCAAGGCCTGAACTACATAGCGAAACCCTTCTCAAAAAAATAGAATAAGGATAGAATAGACCATACATATTATCTCATTTAATCCTTTCCTCCCTAATGAGTATACATTATCACGCCTATTTTATGAATGAAAAAATGAAGCACAGGTCAGTTAAACAGCTGGCTCCAGAGTCACTGGCGCTTGCTTAGATTTTAGCACAGCCTGATACTCTTATCTACATCGCTGTGCTGCCTCTTACCCAGTAAGTCAATGGGAAGTCTTAGCCCATATTGGTGTTTTTATTGAAATCGGATTGTGCTCATTATTTACTGCCTGGTTCCTAAGGAGATTAAAAGTGCTTGAAACAAGTCCCAAAGGAGAACGAAGCAAGACTCTCCCCAGACATCACCAACGCCACAGCTGAAGAAGCTACGTGAACTACACAGGAGTGACACCCTAGGACGCAGCACCAGGGGAACGTCCTTTCCTGCAAAGCACCTATAAAAGTGGTTGAAAGCAACTACCCCACTGTACCTGGCGGGGCTCTTGTCCAGGTTCTTGATGTCCTAAACAAAGATTTGAGCAAGACACGCCAAAGTAGCAGCGCAATCAAGGTTTATTTGAAAGACAAAAGACAAGATAAACTCCCAGGGTGGGACTGGCCAGTGAGAAGAGCTCACAGCCCAAGAGGACTTGATGTTAAGAGCTGTAAACCTGAGGATGTGAGGTGGGATTCAGGCGCTGGTCTAAGGTGTGGCTCCTGCTCTGAGCGTCTTGACTCAGCTCCACCATTCAGTAGTGGTGTTTTCAAGCTCTTCCCACCGGCCAGCGGCTCTGGTTGGCACACGCAATCTGCATATCAACACAAGGTAATTCGAATTAGTGTCAGCCAAGGGTGCAGAAGACCCGTAGGTGCACACCAGGGACTGATTATGTGTTGTCTGGCTACCTTTCCCACTGTAACTTAGACCTGGACATCCTGGTCCTGGGGGAATGTCTAACTGAGAAGGTAGATCCAGTCCCAGAAAGCAGGCTCCAACGCAGTCCTCTACCCTTCCCCCTGCCGCTTCCTTGGTTACCTTATGCTCATAGCTAGCCCAGAAAGTGGGCTCCTGGCAAGCCCTTTCTTCTTTCTCCACCTTTTTCCTTAGCTACCTCCTGCCTCACTACCAGATACACAAACACCAACACAGGGGCACAAGCATGAAAAATAAGGTAGCATGACACCTCCAAAAGCACACAATAACTCTCTAGCGACCAAGGAAAGGAAATGAACGGATTTCCTGGCAAAGGCTTCAGAAGAATGAACTTTTAAAGACTGAGTGAGATATATAAGAACAGAGGGGACAATCCAGCAAAAGTATATGATCTGAATGAGAAATTTAGCAAAGAAATAGAGACATAGAAAAGAACCAATTAGAAATCTTAGTGCTAGGGGCTGGGGAGTTAGCTCAGCAGCACGGCGCCTGCCTGGCACGCACAAGGTCCTGAGTTCAATTCCCAGTACCAGAAAAAAAAAAAAAAAAGAAATCTTAATGCTAAAGAATAGAGGGAATAAAAAAGATAGTTGAATGTCTTAACAGCAGAATTAATCAGGCAAAAGAAAGAATTCCCAAGCCAGAAGATAAGCTTTTTGAAATGATCCAGTCAGATTGTTTAAAAATAAAAGAGAGAGAGAGAGAGGAAAAGAAAAAAAGTAGAAGAAAACAAAAAGAATGAAGCAAGCTCTAGAGACTTATAAGGCAAGACAACTTGCATTTTGCACGTTCCAAGACCTTAGGAGAAGAAAAAGGGAAATAGCACAGAAATGCAATTCAAAAAATTTGCTGAAAAATTTCCAGTTTTTGGAAAAGATACGGACATCCTAGTCCAGGAAACACAAAGGACACCTAAAAAACTCAACCCCCCTGCAAAAAAGGATTCTCTCTAAGGTATGTTTTCATCAGAATGTCAAAAGTACAAGAAAAAGGGCTGGGGATATAGCTCAGCGGCATAAGCACCTGCCTGGCAAGCACAAGGTCCTGAGTTGATCCCCGGTACCGCAAAAAAAAAAAAAGACAGAATTCTATAAATAGCAAGAGAAAAACATCAAGTCACATATAAGGGAATCCCCATTCGATTAACAACAAACCTCAAAAAAAAAAAAAACCATAACAGGCCAGAATAGAATGGGATAATCTATTCAAAATGCTGAAAGAATCACCAACCATGAATACTATACCCAGCAAAGCTACTCTTCAGAAATTAGAGAGAAATAAAAACTTTCTAAGACTAAAAAACTGAAAGAATGTATCGCACTAGACCATTCCCATAAGAAATGTTTAAGGTAGTCTTACACTAGAAGCAAAAATATGGTAACTGTCATCTTGAAAACACGCAAAAGTACAAATCTCACGGTAGAACAGCTGGGCATGGCATCGCACGCCTGTAATCCCATCACTTAGGAGGCTGAAGCAGGGGGATCACTGAGAATTTGAGGCCAGGGTGGAGTACATAGTGAGTTCAAGTCCACCCTGAACTACATAGCAGGACCCTATCTCAAAAAAAAAAAACAAAAACAGATAAGACAGAAGAGAATCAAACCTATCAATATAGAAAACCACCAAACCACAGACATTAAAAAGAGGGGGTCGGGGCTAGGGATTTAGCTCAGAGGCAGAGTGCCTGCCTGGCAAGCGCAGGTCATGAGTTCAATTCCTGGTACCGGAAAAAAACCAATAAAAAACCAAAACAAACAAAAAAAGAGGGGGTAAAAGGCTGGAGATGTAGCTCAGTGGTAGAGCACTTACCTAGTCTGTGCTAAGGCCCTAAATTCAACCCCCAGCACGGCAAAAAAAAAAAAGAGGGGAAGAAAGGATATACCAAGAAAACAGGGGGGAAAAAGTCACGGAATATATGTGACAAGAAATAGAGATTAACAATAACCTTTATTGTACTTTTGTTTTATTTTTGTTGTTTTAGGTGTTTTGTGGTACTGGGGATTGAACTGAGGGCCTGCACACTGAATTACATTCCCAGGCCTCTTTCATTTTTTTTATTTTGAGCCAGGGCCCTGCTAAGTCACTGAATTGCCTAGATTAGGTTTGAACTTGCGCCCTGCTGCCTCAGTCTCCCACAGTGCTGAGATTATAGGCACGTGCCCCATGCCTGGACGACAATAATCTTGAATATGAGTGGGTTAAACTGACCAGTTAAAAGATATAAACTATCTGAATGGGTCAAAAAAAGTAAACTAGACACAACAATATGCAGCCTACATGAAATTCACTTAATAAATCATTTAAAGGGCAAAACAAAGGATGGATAATAGAGGACAGATCTGGTGGTACACTCCTACACTCCCAGCACTTGG